TGTGTGTGTGTGTGTGTGTGTGTGTGTATATATATATGTATATGAATTTTTAACTTCTTAAAAAACTACTACTGCTACTAGCATGGCATGTTTCATTTTGTTCTATTTAACAAATGAAACAGCGCCCCTCTGGTTAGAGGTCAAAAAGGGGTACTGCAGACATTCATCCGGTATGTCGAGTCAACTGAAAATTACATCAGTTGATCAAAGTTTATCACAAAAATATTGTTTAATTATTCGTTTGGTGTCATGTATTATTGTAGGGTCTACCTTAGAATATGAAGCACCAATTGTTGTTGTGATTTGGCGCTGTATAAATAAAGTTGAAAGGAAAAATGTTTTGCCACTGGAAACTGAACGAAAGAACAAGCTGCAGAGTAAAGTGAGAGATGAAGACAATAAGCGAGAGCTTAGCTAGCAGGAACTATGGACCACTTCAGAAGAAATGGGGCTTGAGGTAAACACTCTCTGCATGCTTTCCTTCCTGCACGTGGACAGTTACAGTATGGCCTGCTGAGGCCAACTGTTGATGTCACTGGCAGGAGTACTTTGATACTAAGGTACATTTGGCGTGTAAACTGTTAACACTGACTTTGCACTCTGACAATTATTTTTAATTTTTCATTAGTTCATGATTGTTGAATTACATGTACAATGTACATGTAAAAACACCCGTGTCCTCACCTAGTCTTCAGTCTTGTTCTAATCGGAAGGTTGGCGCTTCGATCCCTCTCTGTTCCAGTCTGCATGCCAAATACCCTTGGGAAAGATACTAACCATTTTGCTCTCTGATGCATCCATCTGAGTATATATGTGTGTGTGTGTGTGAATGTTAGGCTACGTCTAATCCGGATAAATTTGAAAAATGTGTTTTTGTCTAAAAACGCTCCGCATCCACACAATAGTTTTTCCCTCGTTTCCGAAGAGTTCAGCTGAAACGACTGAAAAAAGACGATTCAACCTGCATCATTTCCATCTGCCGTTTATTTATTTTACGGCTCTTTGAAACGTCGCGGCAAAATGTCGAGAAAAAGCACCAAAATTTTTAAATGGACTGACAATGAGGTGGAGTTTTTGCTGCGAGTAACACAAGAGTACAAAGTACCGAAACCAAGTGAGAATTAAAGAATTTGAAGAAAAGCTATCTGGAGCATGTACAGACTGATATTAATCTTTAATAGGGCTGTCAAAACTGAGAGCAAACAAAACAACTGCTGTCCACCATCTTAGTTGAATTGGTCACGTGACTGCATCACATGACTAAAATGCTTCATCGTTTTCGAAAGGCTCCATTTTCGCTGTCCACACTGCGACTCGAAAACTGTGTTTTTAAATTTACCCACTTTGGAGAGCATTTTAAATCTCACCTTTCCTTGACCAAAAACGCCATCGCAGTGTGGACGGAAGGTCAAAACGGAGAGAAAAAGATGCGTTTTCAAACTAAAACTATTTAGTGCGGATATGGCCTTAGACAGAAAGAGCATAGAAAAGGGTGCTTGGGTAAAAGAGGCAAGTTTTGTGCTCAGAGTAGCAAAGCGCTTTAAAACAACCAGTCCATTACCATTTCCTTTTAAAGCTCTGTACGTAAGTATGGACATTTTTTTTAAATTAAAATTGACAAGGTATTGATGTGTTTTCTTATTCCCATAATTACATTCCATAAATATTAAAGGGGGCCCTATACAGCCCATCTGTGGCAGCATCCCACTGCAGTTCCTCGAGTGGCCACATGGGGCTGGCACCAAAAGTGAGTCAATCCCCAGAAACTCTGACGTTCAAATATGTGAAATTTCCATCCAGTTTATGTTGTTGGTGCCTTTTGAAGATTTTTTTAATTGAATTGACTGTTTAAAATTGAATATTTGGACGTATGTGAGGCTGTCCAAAACGTTTATAACTTTTGTGAGTGAAATTCTAGTATTTTATTAGCCTGTTAACACTCTATAGACCAGAATTATGGAATATTTTACAGTTTCAGGAGCAAAACTTCACCAGTTTCATGTCTATGACATAGACTTTAGTGAAACAGCACTACTACCCTGAATCTTTGTGCTTTTTGAAGATTTTCTGAAGAATAAAGATTAAAAGGTCACGTCATGTTTCTTTAATACTGAATATTAATGCAAAGAAGTCCAGAAAAGATGATTACATATTTCTCAGTATTAATTCTAATCATGCTGTTTTGTCCTTCAGAATATTGAGTTTTTAAATGCATAACAAGCATTATTCAGTGTGTTAAACTTGGAGGTTTGTGGATATATTTACTCAGTTACCTGATGAAACGTTCCTGGACACACCAGTTATCTCTGCCGATATCCCACATGTTCTGGTGAAAAATTTCACCACAGTAGCTGGAACTGAAGAGTTGCAGTAACGTCCGATTACAGTTTTCCCCAGTAATTTTATTTTCCTCATCCTGGAAACTCTCTGCAAAGTAATCAAAGATTTTTCTGACACATATGAACTAAAAGGACATACATGTATAAAACAGAAGCTGACGCTCGGACCTTTTTTTCATGTTTAATCTGCACTATATGCACAGCACGTAAATAAGACGCGCTGATAATCATTAACTTACCTTCATCTTCTGTGATAACAGAACCTTGGTTACTTTGCAGTTTGTCCTCAACCGCCTTCTTCTCTTCGTAAAATGTGGATGTCACGTTTTTTGGTTTCAGTGTACCTGCAGGCAAAACATTTTGTTTCACTCTAGGTATTATTGCACCTTGAATTCATAATGGTTGTTTATCCAAAGTGGAAAACGTTTTGCATTTAAATTTGATTTATGCATCGATAAGTCCTGTTTAGAAACAGATATGTAATTGGTGGACTTACAACAATACAAAATTCCTTTAAATCTGCATTCTTCCTTATGTTCAGAAGGGGGTAATTCCCTCTGCTGCGAAACAACTTCTAGATGTTTTCAAGTCTATGAAAAAATAGTTCCCAACTGCCTTGATCTGTGTCTCAAGCAGACAATTTCCTGGCTTCCTGGCTGACTTAATCACTTGTTTATTCTGTCCATTATGAAGGCAGTTGCATGTCATTTATCAAAATCAGCGTATCAAAGCACTCCTGTCAGTAACTGAAGAAGTCACTTGGATGAGTGGTGAAACGTTTCTCCCACTGAAAACGCTGGAACAAAACGCTCTGCAATTATTTAGACAATCCAAGGTACAGTGCACCAAACCTCTATCACCCCCTCCTGCATCGTGGGCCCATGTCTCTCTGTTAGGCTGGGTTGGCTTTGTCCCATGGTCTAAGGCCACCAAGTGTTTGGTTTGAGCCCATAAACCTGGCCCAGGGCTGGAGCTTTGTAACCTTGTTCTGAGCAGGATGAACTGGTTTTTTGAATTGCTCTTTGGCTAGCTAGTATAACATACTTTTTGTGATCACTCAAGCACCCAAACCCGTCCAACACAGGATCCAATCATTACATGTGCTGTGTTGGACAGGTTTCTTTTAATCCTATTGGCATTTAAATGATTATGAATATATAACATTTGTGTGCATTTAGTTTGTATAGATGCCATCTTTTCAGATACACTACTGGAGATCAGTCACTTTCTGCAATCAGGTGAGCTCTGTCCTCAAAACACATCATCAGTGTTTACAAACATCAAAAAGGGTGTAAAGATATTGATAAGGTAATGAATTTGCCAGACAGCACGTTTTCTTACTTGCTGCATTTTATGAGCAATCTGTTTATAAAACCCCTCAAAGGTTACAGTCTACTGTCATCAGATTTATGTTACAATTTATAGGCAACAGTTGCATTTTTCTAATGGAAAAACAAGAGTAAGCCATTCACCAGACCAAAATGGAGCCTTTGATGGTCTATTTCTGGCCTCCACTTCCATGTTTGACATTGTTGTACAAAGTATTTGAAGTAAGAAATGAACTTACTGTTGAATGTTTGGTTCCTCCCAACTTCATCGAGCTTTTCTGCTGTGCTGTTGGCTGATTGTGATGTCACAGTACCTGCAAACAACAAATTCAAAGATGTTCCTTACGATCAGGTATGCCAGTCGGGCCACTTTTAAAAGCAATGCTCTCACTCTGACTTTCATTTTCCTCTGCTGTTTCCTTCATTACGCCCCCACACACGGGGAAAACAATTCATGGAAATATTAAAGCAAATCCAAAAAGCAGGAAATGTCCACAAAATCTAAAGAAAAACTCTCAAGTCAAGGCAAACACATACCGAGGACAAAAGCAGACAAGAGCAGGTAGAGGATCATTGTGGACAGCAGTCGAGGCAGGTCTGTGACCCAACGTGTCTTTAGAGGCTATAATTTCCCTCCTGGAGCTCAGAGGAAAAAGGAAACCCAGCCCTCCTTATCTCAGCTTGCTGCAGATGCGTCTGAGTGCATTTGTGCCATGGTGTCATTGAGAGATCCTTGTTAAACATGCCTAGTGTTGGAAAACGAGCAGATAAAGATGCTGATCTGACAATAATTTGATATTATAGCATGATCAGATCAAAGACAAACCTACCAAAGTTAGAGAAAGAGGTTACTGAAGAAAATAAACCACAAGTTAGTCCAATTGTTACACAGTCAGAAAAAGCTTTAACTGCAACCATTTCAGCCTTGCGAGTGTCCGAGTAAAACACCCGCATATATTAGTAGCTAATTTTAGACACTGAATGTTGAGAAATGAGTAGAAAGGGAAGCGCAGATTTGCTTATAAAGTGAAATTCACTGATCAACATGTTTAGTTCAGTGGTTTTCAAATTGTGCGTGGAAGCCACAGCAGCTGCAATGTGATAGACAGGGCAAACCTGTGGTGGCTGCTGCTAAAATAATATTAACTTGGGTGATAATTTTGTATTAATAATGGGTCAAAAGTTTGGAAAGTAATCTTTGTTTAGCTTCTAAAGGGCGGCGCACCAGAAAAAATGTCGAGGACTCTGCACTCATTCTGCTCGAGCCAGTCAATATAACCCAGCATGAAAAATGTGTATGTTGTAAAAGGTTTTAATTGGTAGACTTTTCAGAAGATTCACTTCACAGTTACAGCTGCTCTGCATCACAGAAGCTTTCTAATTAATGCACCATCAAATGCAGTAACCTGCTTGTTTAACTGTTTAACAAGCAGGTTGTTGCATTTGAGTCAGAGAGTTGGATTTTCTATGATGTGTTCAGTAAACATCAATGAGCGTGAACTAAGGACTTGGGGAAGAAAAGTGACTGAACTTCCTTAAGTTTCTTGAAATTGTTTTAACCCTCATTTTTTTGGAGTGTCTTCAGTTTTAAGACCAAATGGCAGAGATTCCCAGGAATTTAAAGAAGTCCAGTTGCTTTCTTTCTAAACTCCTTAGATTACTATGACCTGGATGAATGAGAACCTACACAGACATATTGCCATGCACTTTGGGAGGAACATTCTTGAACTGCTGTGGCATAAAAGGGAATCAAGAAAACTAGCAGATTATGGAAACCACCTCCACTTTAACCTAAGACGCAGACAGAGCAGACTTATTCCCAAGAGTTTGTGCCATGGATCCACGGTCAGGGCACATAAAGTGAAGTTGATTCTGCAGAGAGCACAAAACCAGCTTCAAAGTGAAAAGATAAGACACTTCTCAGAAGACCCTTACGAGGAAAACATCGAGGGAACAAGTTATCCTGCCTGGGATAGGGTTACCAGGGCCCCACCCTGGAGCCAGGCCCGGGGAGGGTGCCTGAGGGCGAGCGTCTGGTGGCCGGGCCTTAGTCCATGGGGCCCGACCGGCATAGCCCGAAAAGGGGACATGGGCCCATCCTCCCGCAGGCCCACCACCCGCAGGAGGCGCCGTTGGGTGCTTTGTGTGCTGGGCAGTGGCCAGGAGCGGAGGCCCTGGCGGACTGATCCCCGGCTACCAAGACTGGCAATTGGGACATGGAATGTCACCTCTCTGGTGGGGAAGGAGCTTGAGTTAGTGCGTGAGGTTGAGAGGTACCGGCTAGATATAGTCGGGCTCACCTCTACACATGGCTTGGGCTCTGGAACCAGCCTCCTGGAGAGGGGCTGGACTCTGTTTCAGTCTGGAGTTGAAACTGGAGTTGTTCGATCATAAGAGTGTCCATAAGTGGACGTGGCACCAGGACGCCCTAAGCCACAGGTCGATGATCGATTTTGTAATCGTATCACCAGACCTGTGACCATATGTTCTGGACAGTCGGGTAAAGAGAGGGGCTGAGCTGTCAACTGATCACCACCTGGTGGTGTATTGGATCAGGTGGCGGGGGAGGACACTGGACAGACCCGGCGTGCTGGGAATGCCTTTCAGAGGCCCCTGTCCGCGAGATCTTCAACATACACCTCCGGCAGAACTTCAACAGTATTCCAAGGGAGACTGGGGACATTGAGACCGAACGGACCATGTTTAGCATGTTCTTTGCCGAAGCTGCTGCAATGAGCTGCGGCCACAAGGTGGTTGGTGCCTGTCATGGTGGTAACCCCCGAACCAAATGGTGGACACCAGAGGTGAAGGGAGCCATCAGGCTGAAGAAGGAGTCCTATCGGGCTTGGTTAGCCTGTGGGACTTCGGAGGCAGCTGACAGGTACCGACAGGCCAAGCGGGATGCGGCTCAGGCAGTGGCCAAAGCAAAAACTTGGATGTGGGAGGAGTTCGGAGAGGCCATGGAAAAAGACTTTCGGACTGCCTCGAAGAGATTCTGGCAAACCGTCAGGCGACTCAGGAGGGGAAAGCGGTGCTCTACCTGCACTGTGTATAGTGCTGGTGGAGCGCTGCTGACGTCGACTGAGAAAATTGTCGGGTGGTGGAAGGAATACTTTGAGGACCTCCTTAATCCCACTGAGGAGGAAGCAGAGTATGGGGATGACGGGGATGACCCGCCAATTTCCAGGGGTGATGTCACTGAGGCAGTTAAACAAGTCCTTCGTGGCAGAGCCCCTGGTGTCCACCCCGAGTTCCTGAAGGCTCTGGATGTTGTAGGGCTGTCCTAGCTGACACGCCTCTGCAATGTTGCGTGGAGATCAGGGGCGGCACCCCTGGACTGGCAGGTCCCCTTCTTAAAAATGGGGACCACCACCCGGGTTTTAGTCACGGTTTTAGTAACGCAGCAACGCAGCGTTCCTACTGGAAAGTAACGGTAATCTAATTACCGTTTTTCCGATAGTAATCCCTTACTTTACTCGTTACTTAAAAAAAGTAATCGGATTACAGTAACGCGTAAGGCGTTACTGTCCATCTCTGGTTATGACCAGAAAAGAACTGACTTATTTCTGATGTTTTTTAATGATAATGAATGCTTTATTTATGGGTGGACATGTGAGTGGAGAACAACAAGGAGCCAAGGATGGAGCTCTGGGGAACACCCCAGAAATAAACACAACTCATTTCAGTAATAACGTTTGAGCTGGAGTGTCATTAACAGTCAGTGTGTCTTCCTGTACGTCTTTACCATACAACCCCAAGTTAGTAGTCATACTAAATAATTATATATTTTTTTCTGTTGTCACGTGGCAGACTGTATATTCATATTATTGTGGTTTTGCATTAAGTAATTGGATGCACTCTGTCCTATAGACATATGATAGGCCTGCTGCAGTCACAAAGTTTGTAATTGTGCTGGGACTTTCCAAGTGCAAGTTAATGGGCAGCCCAATTTCCTGATTCGTCATGATCCTTCATGTACGACTAGTAAAAAACACTCATAAGGGATTTCTTCCTTCAGGAATCAGGAAGAATGTGCAGCATGAATGTTAGACAGGAAACCCATAAACTGTGTGCCTGTCTGGTCCTATTTACTAACACGACATGTTGTTGTTTTCTCCGTATTGTTGTAGAGTTTACCTTCACTTTACAATGCAAAATGTCTTGAGGCAACTGTTGTTGTGATTTGGTGCGATGTAAGTAAAACTGAGCTGAATTGACCTGAATTGCTCATATTGTCATGATAACTTAACCAGATGTTGGGAAAAATAGGCGATCTGAAAGTGAGTTTACATTTCACACAGACAAGCTTTTACCCACTACAGATACACACAGAGGTATGAAAACAACAACTTCCTGTGTTTTGTGGTATTAAATGTGCAGGATGTCAGTTTTTTTCAGCTGGCTTGTCGGAGACAGGAAACTAAACTGGCATTCGGGGGTTTGCTGCTTGTTGACAGACATTAAGGGACAGTCGAAAGGTTTTAAATGGACATCTGCATCCTGGTTACAATCAGGTTTCTAAAGCAGTGCTTTTGTACTTCAGAAACCTAGTTTTGAGGTACACAGTATGACAGCAAGAGGAAAAGTGTGGTTGCTATTCAGGTGTATAAGTGCTGCAAAGACAGAGTTCCAGCCAGGTGACAACGACTGAGGAAGCACGAACAAGAGTGAAGGTTAAAGGTCACAGGAAGCCAGGATCTTAATGCAAACAAGTGCAAGTTAAATGAACAAAGTCAGATTGATTTCAGATTAACAGTTACAGGAAAGAGAGCTTGATCGATCTAATTTATACATCACAGGGGCCTGCTAAATTACCACACTGTAACTGGATACTAATATTTATTACGCGTGGTTTTGTATGCATACTAAAATAATTTTAAAGAGCATTTGATCCTTCCCAAAGAGGAATAAACAGAAATAAGATTTTTCTTAAATGTGAGTTTATCATGCAGATCATTTGTGCTTATAGTAACCTGTTAAAGGCCCCTAATGAGCCAAGAAAAACTCTGATCGGTTATACAAAGATATGCAGAACTAACATGTTAACACGTTAAACCTTGTAACAGAGTTAATCATGTTCATCTAGACGTGCTGTCTTCACTGACACCACGCCGCGTCACCGGCTGTCCCTCTACTAGATGACAATCTGGTATGTGGTGAAGCTGTTTTCCCCCCTTTCTTAAAGAAACCACTTAAATACAAGTGAGACGTTCAGGTGTTTCGAAGCTATTTTTCCCCACACGTCACTTTTCACATGTGTGAAATCTTTCAAAGTCAGTCTTTGGTGGTTGATTTATCAACCTGAGTAAAACAACAACAACAAGAACTCTGCTTTACATTATTTGACTGAAAGATAAACTGACACAAATAAAGGATGTCTGAGTAAACAAAAACAAAACATGTTGATTATTTTATTCTCAAAAATCATTTTGATGAATGTTTCAACTCATGAAAAAACCCAATTGTGCATTTGAGCTTTATTGATTAAGGGAATGATTGAATTAAGTATGAAATATGATGAGTGGTCACTTTTTTTAATACATAGTTTTTATGTAATTCAAGTTCCTTTAATGCTAACACTACATTATAAATGCATATCTATATTTAATGTACATCACCC